GAGTTCAAAACCAGCAAGAGCAAGACCCCGTCTCTACTACAAATGGAATGAAATTAATTGGCCAACTAATATATATAGAAAAAATGAGCTGGGCATGGTGGTGCATGCTTGTAGTCCCAGCTACTCGGGAGGCTGAGGCAGAAGGATTGCTTGAGCCCAGGAGTTTGAGGTTGCTGTGAGCTAGGCTGATGCCATGGCACTCACTCTAGCCTGGGCAACAAAGCGAGACTCTGTCTCAAAAAAAAAAAAAAAATAGATAAATGAGACTGTATAAAAATTAAAAACAATACCATCCAGAAAGTAAAAATGCAACTGACATAATGAGAGAATATATTTACAAATCATATATATAAGGGACTAATATCCAGACTACATAATCTCATTGCTGGTGAGATTGTAAAATGATGCAGCTGCTTTGGAAAAACAGTTTGGCAGTTCCTCAAAATATTAAACATAGAGTTAGCAATTCTCCTAGGTATATACCCAAATGAAATGAAAACATACGTCCACACGAAAACTTCTACACACAAATTCATAGCATCTCTATTCATAATGGATAGCCAAAAAGTAGAAACAACCCAAATGTTCAACTGTGGAATTGATAAATAAAATTGGTGCATCTATACGATGGAGTATTATTTAACCATAAATAGGAGTGAAGTACTGATACATGCTACATGATGAACCTTGAAAATATTTTGCTAAGGTCATAAAAGATGACATATTGTGTGATTCCATGTATATAAAATGTCTAGAATAGGCAAATCTGTAGAGATGGAAAGTAGATTATTAGTCTTTGCCTAGAGCTAGGGGTGGAGGGGTGAAGGGAGATGGGGTTGAATATCCCTTATCTGAAATGCTTGGGATCAGAAGTGTTTTGGATTTTGAAATTTTTCAGATTTTGGAATATTTGCATATGTATATCAGTAATATATCTTAGAATTGGGACCCAGGTCTAAACATGAAGTTCATTATGTTTCATATACCACATCATCTGAAGATAATTTTATAGGATATTGTTGATAATATATGCAAGCTATCGCTTGAGGTCGGGGGTGGAATTTTTCACTTGTGGCATCATGCTGGCATTCAAAAAGTTTCAGATTTTGGAGCATTTTGGATTTTGGATATTCAGATTAGGGATGTACAACCTGTATCTCTGTTGTCTAGCACAGGTCCTGGAACTTTGTAACCACCCAAATATTCATGGAACTGAAATGAGAGCAGTATTATAATTAGTTTAAAAGGGGAAAAGTTGGCCAGTAATTATTATCTTATAGGACTCAGGGCTTCCTCTACCCTCTTTCCTTTGCCCATCCTATATACATATCATAACAATAGTAATATCAGCTTTGCTACTTACAAAGCTTACCTTAACTCATTCAAATTGGAAAGCAACCTTGTGACGTTAGTATGATTGTTAAGCCATTTTACAGAGGAGGAAACTGACTCAGAAAGTGTAAGTAACTTGACTCAAATCACCCTGGGACACTGCCAGAGTTGAAAGCCAGGGCCTTGCCCTGGACTACACAGCCCCTCACCTTCACACGTCCATAATAAGGTTGCTGACTGCTGGCTGCATGGCTGAATCACAGAGAAGGCCACCTACAGTTAATTTACAAGCCTCTCAGCTTGTCTCATTGCAAAGTCAAAGAAAAATTACCCTTTTGGTTGCCTTTTATATTATATGTAGGCACTTTTCTGGGTAGAGCAATCAAGAATTCAAACCATTAGTAAAGGCATAAAATAAAAGTCAGCAGTCAGTTTTTCTCAATCACTGTGTTTTGTTGCAAATAGATCTCTAAAGATAAGAAAAATTAATTCTTATCAGATGCTGACTCATGCTATGCCCACGATTTTACTCATTTTGTTCTGAGGAAACGAGTAATACGCCTGCTTGCTGACTATCCCCTGAGCCTGAACTAGTTCTGCTGCACAGCAGTTGGAGAAATTCGCTTCAGCAAACATTTATTTCTGTGTCTTCCATGTGCCAGGCAGTACACGAGGAGCTGGGGATACGGAGATAAACAAGCCCCAATCCTTGTTCTCAGGGAGCCGCGAGTATTTTCTAGATGCTTTAACCATGGCATGTAATTATTCTTTTAGAAGGAGAATTTGGATTATTTTGCTTTTATATTTTGGCAAAGTATAGTCCTCCTCTCAGTTACTGTCTAAAATATAGGAACCTTTGTCTGTGGAGCATACAGAAAGAGAAGGAGTGACACAAATATTTAGAACTCTATGTAATACAAACTGATCTTTCACTTTAAGGCGCCCTGTTAGTTTCAGAGGTTGATGACATTTTATCCCTTCAAAGAATGGAGTCCATTTGTAGGCTCTCAATAAAAGCATAAGGATTTACACAACTGAAAGTTAACCCAGCCACCACTCCATACACATTTGTCAAGTCATCATGTCTGTGCATACCATGTATTTATTTTAAAATGCTGGAAAGTAATATGCAAACATTATAGAAGTGAGGGAAATGGAACGACATTACAAAGTAGAGTAAAATAGTCACTTAAAATGTCGCTGCCCTGATACTGAGAGGCAGTTGGACCTTGGGCAAATTATCTATGCATCTCCATGTCCTCATTTGTAAAATTGAGAATAATGGTATCTATTTTAAGGGGCTTTGCCGGGACTAAATGAGATAGCAAATTAAAGCACACACATACAAAAATCCACAATAAATGTGTTTTGTATCAGAACAAAATAAGCATTGTAAGAAATAATAACAAAATTATTAAATATTATATATAATCAATAATATATATAATATAATAAATAATTTAATTATTAAAAATAAAAAGCATTGAAAGAAAGTCCCTTTGTTTTGTTTTTTCTGGTTTTTTACACAGATTTTTTGTTATACTTTTGTATCCTCATTTCTTCTTGTACGTTATTATGTGATCACTTTCCATCTTGCTGTGTTTGATTATTGTAATTTTTAGAGGTTGCACACTGTTACTAACAGGGTATGGATGTGCCAACATAGCTCTTCCATTCCCCCATTGTTGGACATTTGTGTTGCTTCCAATATTTCAGTATTATAAGTAGAGCTTCATTGGACAGTTTTATATATGTAGTATATTTTCACTTCTTGGGAAATCTTAAGTGGGTTTCTTAGTCTCTGTGTCTTTGTTGCCTTGTATGTTAAATGAGGATAGAATTGTATCTGCCTAGGAAGAGAGCTACGTGAATTAAAAGAAGCTGTACCACAGAGCACTTGGAACAGTGCCTTGTACTCACCAAATGATCAATAAACGTTACCTTTTTTTTTTTTTTTTTGAGACAGTCTTGCTCTGTTACCTGGGCTTAGAGTGCAGTGGTGTCATCATAGCTCACTGCAACCTTAGACTGGGCTCGAGTGATCCTCCTGCCCCAGCCTTCCAAGTAGCTGGGATTACAGGCATGCACCACCATGCCTGGCTAATTTTTTCTATTTTTAGTAGAGACAGGGTCTTGCTTTTGCTCAAACTGGTCTCCTCAGCCTTCTAGAATGCTAAGATTATAGGCGTGAGCCACTGCGCCCGGCCTCTTTCTCTTATAAAATAATAGTGAGAAAACAGTTCATCCGTATTTGAGCAGCTGGTTGTGACTAGGACTCACTTCTGCTCACTTACCTGAACAGTCAGACCTCATCTACACCCAGGTAAGGTTCCAGAGGCTGTTTGGAAGTCTGTTTTTCTGATGCTTACAGTCCCCAGGTGCATTCTACCAAATTGTAGAGTAAGTTGGTCTTTTGAAACTTAAAAACAAAGCATATTTTATTCCTTACTGAATGAAGTTAATACTATTGGGCATCTTTGTATTTTTACTTTTTCTGAGACAAGTCAACAGTTTGCTCTAGGAAAATCTGTTGTGTCAGGTGATGACCTCTATGATTGCATGCCCCCTCCAGAGAAAAGAAATTGGCAAGGGTACCCATATGTCCTGGTTTCCTCAGTTTATACTTGTCCTAGTATAATTATTCATAGTGCTGCTTCACCCTCAAAAGTGACCTAGTTTGGACGGTAAATTATATAGTCATCCTGGTGCCAGGGGATTCCTCAGCAGTTGGGATGTCTGCCTACACTTGCCACCTCTCTACTCCCTTGAAGGACTTGCTTTCTGTCCAGCAAAGGGTTCAGCCGAGTTGCCTTCACCACACTTAACCTGGAAGACTCTCCTGCGTGTATCTGGCCTCTTCGAATTTGCCTTAGCTCAGCAGGCATTCACTCAAGTGTGCCCATTTTATCACTTTTTTCCTCCATCTTGCTGATGATGGGCAATGGCATAGACAGGGCACTTTTCATGTGTTTTAAAAGTGCTTTTGTTACTTCTAGATGAATGGAAAAAAAAAAGTGCTTTTGTCCTTCGGAATTATTTGTTTTGTAGCTCAGTTCATCCCACAGGCAAATGTAACATTCCTAATTTCTCACCACTGGCAATTTAAAAAATTATATCTGCTATCAATTTCATCTTAAATGCAAACCTCTTGTTAATAGGACTTTAAGCCTTATCTTGCCCTCATCAAGTAAAATAGGGTTAATTATATTCGTAAAGCACTTTAAAGTCCTTACATAATCACAGCAAACAGGTCAACGATGAGTAAGCAAGGACAAGTCTAGGACAAGTCTAAAGTGATAGTACACAGCTTCTGTCTCCATGATTGACCACAGAGTTTTGTTCAGAAGATGAAAGTCTGTAAGTACAGAAGCTTCAGTGTTGGAAAACAAAGGCAGATTAGCTTGTCGCTCATGACTACCTTTTGTACTTAGGTAACTGTATTTTAATTGGCATAAAGGGCTTTGTGATTTGAGAGACTCTCTTTCCCCCGAAACAGGTGCCTACATTCCTTGGGTGGTAAAGTGTCCACATTTTAAGGAGGAAAAGCAGGTGTTTTGGTGAGGGACCCTGCCAGGCGGAGCCAGTGCAGTATCAATGTGGGGACCATAGATCATAGGTCAGACCGAGGATTCTCAATGGAAGATTTGTTTTCTGTTTGTTTTAACTAGGTGACTTTCGGATGGTTGTTGGAGAGGATAAGACAAAAGTGTTGAATATCGTGAAGCCCAACATGGCCCACTTTCGTGAGCTATATGGCAGCATACTACAGGAGAACCCCCAAGTGGTGTATAAAACCCAGCAAGGCCGACTGGAGGTAAACTGGATGTGGAAAATAGCTTCCATTGTTTCTAAGGCAAGAGTCATTTGCAGGAAGAAAGTAAGGAGTAGAATAGTATGACTAGTGTAATATTTTTATTTTAAAAGGTAAGTACTATATGTAAACATGAGCTTCTGTATATTTGGAGTAATGCTAAAAGGTAACAGTGACAAGTAAGAAGGGATTCTTTTGGAGAAGAGAACTGGGGGCATAAGTAGGAGAGAGATGTGTTTTCACCATGTATTAATGTCTTATTTGCCACTTGAAATTCTTACTGTATGTATTAATTACCAATGAAAACAAGTGAGAATAAACTCTCAGATTGCTTTGGTTCCATCTGCCTAATCCCGTTAGCCATCCCTGGTGCCATCTGCCTCCCCAGAGGCAGCCATACTGACGGTTTATGTCTGTTCTTCCAGATCCTTTTGCATGCATTTTTGTGTATATTTATACATATACACATGTTAAGGAGGTTTGGTCTTAATTGGTTTTGCTATATGTAAATGGGCTCCTACTTATACATATTATTCTGAAGTTTGCTTTTGGCCACTTGTTATGTTTATTATGTCTTGGGACTTTTTGCTGTATCAAATAAGACTTTCTTATCAAGATATTTTTTAAAGTAATATTAAGTGTTTGAAAATAAAAATCAAAGAAACTTCACTTGGAGAAAAGTAATTCAGTTTTAAGATTTTTTTTTAAACTATAGAAAACCACAGAGTTGGTTTTTTTTCCTTTAACATAAAGAACATTATATTTTACTACTTTTGTGCTCTTCCTCATCCACATAATAGGGGCAATTAGCATTGTATTGAATAACAGATTAATGGGGTTTCTAGAACTGAAAAGGGAGCTTTAAAAACTATAAATTATTTTTAAAATTAGAATAGACAGTGACATATAAAATATCAGAATACCCATCACTCAGTTTAACAGATTTTGCCACATTTTGTTCAGATTCAGGTTTTTTGTTTTTAATTTTTACTTTCGTCAATGCATGCACATGCTTTAAAAGCCAATGGTACCTCAAGGTTTATGACCAAAAAAGCAGTTACCTGCTATATACCTTCCTCCTTTTTCAGTCTGACTTCCTAGAGGCAATTGCCTTCATCTTATTAGCGGATTCTTATATTTAATTGATTTTTTTCAATTTTATACTTTATTTTTGCCATCCTTCTCTGGAAGACACAGATTTTTTCACTCTCTTGCAGCGCCCCATCAACACAAACACTCTTCCCCTCCTACCTCACCCCCTCATGCTCCACATATAGTTATTTCATAATTTTTGGTTAGGTTAATATTCAGTATTTATTATGACAACTGTTATTGCTGATACATAAATAGTATTATGAAATTTACTTTCCTGTACAACTTGGTTTTTCCTGGAGTTAACAATTGTCTCATTTTTTTTCAGTTGCTTAGGTCACTAATTCATTCTCAAACTCTGATCTGTAAAACTCCTTCCATTATAGACAAATATTTAATACATTGGGTATTTTCTCTGTTTCTTGTTTTTCTTGGGGATATTCTTCCTAGAGCCCCATGCCCTGTTCCTTTCTGGGCTGCTTGTTTTCTAGGCTTGCTACACAGCTGTGCTCCTTGAACTTCCTTTCATTATCACCTTGAGAATTTCTATTACCTCTCTTCTTTGCTAGTTTTTGGTTTTCTTAATCTTGTGTTTTCCTCTTTCCAAAGTGGTTTACACTTTCATTTTGGTGAAGTATGTCTTTTAGTACCTTCCTAATAAAGGATGTGAGGGAGGTAAATTTTGAGACCATGTACCTTTGAAAATTCTACCTTCCTATTAATTGATAGCTTTGGCTAGATATCAGATTCTGGGGTGGGAATAATTTTCCTCTGAATTTTTAAATCATAGCTCGTTTTATTTGGGTTTTTTTGTTTGTTTTTTGAGACAGGGTCTCACTCTGTCACGCAGGCTGGAGTGCAATGGTGTCATCACAACTCACCGCAACTTTGAAATCCCAGGCTCAAGTGATTTTCCTGCCTCAGCCTCCCACATAGCTGGGACTACAGGTGTATGCCACCATGCCTGGCTAATTTTTTTTTTTATTATTATGGTAGAGACAAGGTGTTACTATATTGCTCCAGCTGGTCTCGAACTCGTGGACTCAAGTGTTCCTCCTACCTCAGCCTCCCAAAGTGCTAGAATTAGAGATATGAGCCACTGTATCCAGGCTGTTTTTTAATTTAGCCTTGCAGAAGAATTTTTTCAGGTTGATCTTCTAACACTTCTACTAAATTTTTAATTTCCCCCAATTTTTTAAATAGTATCCTGTCTTGTTTTATGGAAGCATTATTGTCCTCATAATGATTTTTCCTTAATGATCTTTATTATAACTTTTGAAGTTTTTTCTTATTCCTTACAATTGTCTCTTTATCTCTTAGTTCCTCTCTCTGTTGATTCAGTCTTGTCTATTATCTTAGAGGCTTTTCTCAACAGTCCTTCCTGGCTTGTTTGTAAAGAATGAGGCACTGAAATGCAGACTGGAAGTTCTCCATGATGGATTGGGGTTGTCATCTGGTGGGCTTCCCTATAGGATTATGGGGCAAGGACCTGACTGTTTTATTGGAGGACCCCAAATGTCAGTATCTGTAGAATTTCTCCAGAAAGACATCTACTGTCCGCCTAGCAAACAGGGAAGTATAATGTGGCTAGCTTCCAACTTCCTAGAAACTGAGTGAGGGAAAAGGACTGGGAATTTTTTCTAACTATGAAAATAAACTTATCTAAACTCCTTGCTGTGGCCTACAAAAGCCTGCATGATCAGGCCGGGCGTGGTGGCTCACGCCTGTAATCCTAGCACTTTGGGAGGCCGAGGCGGGCAGATTGCTCGAGGTCAGGAGTTCAAAACCAGCCTGAGCGAGACCCCGTCTCTACCAAAAATAGAAATAAATTAATTGACCAACTAAAAATATATATACAAAAAATTAGCCGGGCATGGTGGCGCATGCCTGTAGTCCCAGCTACTCGGGAGGCTGAGGCAGGAGGATCGCTGAGCCCCGGAGATTGAGGTTGCTGTGAGCCAGGCTGACGCCACGGCACTCACTCTAGCCTGGGCAACAAAGTGAGACTCTGTCTCAAAAAAAAAAAAAGCCTGCATGATCTAGTTTAATTGGGTTTTTTTCCCCCTGGGGAAACTTATAAGAATAAGGTTGAGGGTGCTAAGCTACAGCTCTCAATGCTGCATCTGATCTGGAGGGTGCAACTCATCTTTTCCCCTTTCTACTACCCATTCCAGATGCCCTTCCACCTCATCTACCACTTCTCTCGTCAAGACAAGTTGGGTCAAACTCTCATCCCTGAGGAGTCTGAGACTCTGGTCACCATGCCCATCCCAGCTTATATCTAGTGAACTTGTTCACTTACCATGAAAATTGGGCAGAGGGTGCCAAGAGACGTCCATCAGCAGCTCTGCCTCTTGGTGATCAGGTCGATTGCTCCTTCCAATATAGTGGCTCATTTCCTTGTCTGCTAAACTTTTGGCATGGCATTCTAAATTGATTGGTTGGCAGTCACAGCTTTAAAGTTTAATGAGATGCTTACTGTGTCCTCTGGTAGAAGGCATTCCTTCTCTGGGAACTGGAACTTCTATCTAGACCCAGACACCTAGAGTTGTGGAGATGGGAAGTACAAAGTCCTGAAGGGGGTCACTAGGATGATGGTAAGCAAGGCCACTTCTCACCCTTTGGTTCCCAGACCCATGTCTTCTACTGACTAGGAATATAGTACTATATAATAGTCATGAATTTAGGATGTATACTGTACCCCATTCTCACAGATAGTCATCTCCAAGCTGGTGTTACAGCTGTTCCTTGATTGCTCTTTCATGGAGTTTTTCAGTAGTGGCATACCGACATTTTGAGCCAGATAATTCTTTGTTGTGGGGGACAAAAATTGCCTCCCTTTGAGAACCATTGCTTTACCAGGCTGGCAGATTTGGTACAGTATATGGTAGGAACAATGGAGCCATATGTTGTGGCCATTGCTGCACTTCTGTATCTCCTTTGCTCTAAAGTGGGTCCCCTGAGTGGTGTCACGTGGTACGCCATGTCAGAGAATCAAACATTCTGTGAGACCTGTGCTTGGTACTGGCTAGGCCCTGCTGGCAAGAAAGGCAGACCCATACTCAGAATGTGTCAGTTCCAGTCCAGGTGAATTGCTGCCCCGTCCCAGGTGGAAGAGGTCCAAATGCAGTTAACTAACCACCAAGTGACAGGTTAGTTTCAAGAGATGATCCAATATCTGGATCTCAGTATTGGCCTCCATTGCTGTTAGGGTGGACTTTCAATGGCAGCAGTAGCTAAATCAGCCTTGCTGAGTAGAAGCTCATAACACTGGGTGTAGGCAACAGACAGAGCTTGAACGAAGGCAAGATGTTGGATGTGCTGGGTCTTCACGAGGCCAGGGGCAAGTATTTTGCCATGGATGAGGATGGAGACGAGAGCATTCACAAACTGAAAGAAGAAATGAAAAAACGGAAGAGCCAAAGGTTTGGCTGTGAATAGGGGTCCTGAGTGCGAGGATGTATGAGGATTATGACAGGGTAGAGCAGGGTAGCAGTGAACCCGGAGCACAACACTGTGCTGAAAGCTGGATTCTCTTTGTCACTGCAGTCCATGAGAAAGCCACTGAAAAAGACATCTGTGACAAATTGGCAGAATATGGGGAAGTAAAAAACATCCACCTCAATCTAGACAGGCAAACAGGGTACCTGAAGGGGTACTCTAGTTGAATGTGAAACATACAAGGAGACACAGGCTGCTGTGGAGGGACTCAATGATGTGATGTTGACTGGTGTTTTGTTGTGGGTCCACCCAAGGGCAAGAGGAAAGGTGGCCAAAAATGCAGCAAGAGTCCAGACTGGAGATGTCACTGACAGGTCCTCTTGTCCAGGTGTTCTCTCCAAGATAACATTTGACCATGCAGCCTCAGAGAAATAGGGCTGGGTTGGACCTTGCTGTGTTTATATTTAATCTCTTACCCCACCTGGTTAGTGTTTCTTTTGAGTTATGAA